TATGTAGGACAGACAGGCAGAAGGCTGGCAGAGCGCATCCATGAGCAACAACTAGCAGTCAGAAGACATGATGAAAACTCCTTAATCTCACAATACATGGACAGACTTAACCATAGTTTTAATTGGGAAACGGTCAGCATTTTAGACCAAGCTAAATCCAAAAATACAAAGGAATTCTTGGAAGAATCTCACAATACGTGGACAGACTTAACCATAGTTTTAATTGGGAAACGGTCAGCATTTTAGACCAAGCTAAATCCAAAAATACAAAGGAATTCTTGGAAGCTTGGTATTCAGACAAGACAGCAATCAACAGACACATAGAAATAAACAGCATCTACGTACTATTCAAAAGAGACAATAGAAAAGAAAAGACCAGAACATCTCCTCACCAGCAATCCTCACCCAGATAAGCAGAGGTTACCACCAGGCACACAATCAAGCAGTCAGCAATACCCTAATCAAGGAACTACCAGAGGAACAAAACAAACCCCCCACCCCTACCAACACTGGCAGGGCATGCCACAGTATATAAACAGAGAGCAAACCCCATCCCATTCTAGCACTGAAGATGTTACCTAGCCGGGTAATGAAACGTTTGCAAGAAAAGAACCAAGCTCAGAGAACCACTACCAGAGGAACAAAACAAACCCCCCACCCCTACCAACACTGGCAGGGCATGCCACAGTATATAAACAGAGAGCAAACCCCATCCCATTCTAGCACTGAAGATGTTACCTAGCCGGGTAATGAAACGTTTGCAAGAAAAGAACCAAGCTCAGAGAACCCCAAGGATTCCACAGAGCCAAATAACCCTAGACCCCCCTCCCCCAATAAGAAAAGAAAAAAGTAGAAAAAATATTACTTGGGACTGTATTAACTGTGAATATATATTTGATCTTCAGAAGAAATATAAATATTCTAAATACCCGTATTCAATACTTTTAATCAAAATCATCTTTGTGGAGATGAGTGCAATCTATTAGGAACAAAGATATTAATATGGTGTGCAATGCTTTTGATTAATTTCTGGAGTGCTAGGGAGCAAAAACATAGTCCACAAAACCTTAAAACAACTGTGTCTTTTCCTGAGATCATGTGCCAGCTCTGCGGAGGGCAGCCGCAGAGAAGAGGCATGGCTGCTTTAAGGTACCTGTGCAACGTTTGGACTCCCATAGCATTCATAGCACCTTTTGGAGATCAGATCCAAAGAACTGCATAGCCCTAGGTATAATTAACATATGGCAACAATATTCAACTTCATTGTAGAGTTTTCTAAAGCCTGTGTTGTATTATGCTTTTCAGCCTAAGCAATTTCCCATACTTCTAAATACCACTGAAGTAATGGAATATCTACTTTGATTTTCCAGTGTTTTACAACAGAAATCTAAAAACTAACGACAAGACCTGAATCAATTTCTTATGTTGCCTTAGTTTATATGCACTAAAAAGCATAGACAATGAACTTTGAATTTATTATGAAAAACTGTTGAATGATTTCCCCAATTTCTTCAAAAACATCTGACCAATGAACTAATTGAGCATTGGCACTAAATGACAGTAACATATACCAATTTGTTTATACTTTCACCAACATGCTCTAAAAAGTTTGATACTGAGTGTAATTTTAGTAAAGTCTATGTATTATTGTATTGAGCATGAAACTGAGCAAACTCAGGGAGGCAGTGAAGGACAGGAAGGCCTGGCGCGATATGGTTCATGGGATCATGAAGAGTCGGACATGACTTAATGACTGAACAACAACAACAATGTATTATCTATTGATTATATTCATGGTTGGTTTTTGATGACTTACTGTACTGAGGTATGTCAGTTTAAAAGCAATTCTATACCATAAGGAATTCTAATGAGCTACATCAGATTCAGAACTCAGATGAACTTCTCAAAAGTTTCTGACCGTTTAAGGAGTACCTATCATGTATTAGCTTTTAGAGAAGATTAATGAATCTTCCACACTATTAAATGAAGTACATACAGAGTATTCTTCAAATATTGTTAATGGACTCATGCAAATTTACAAATATCTATAATTTAGTTTATATATTTTCTGAAAAACAATTGAAATTGCTTTTCCTTCCTCTAAGCTTCTAAAGATGATTTAAAATATGCAGCTATTAATATCTTATATATCAGCTACATTTTCTGGATATCAACTCTCTTATGTGCAGAGGCACTTTAGAGACCCATGTGTAAGACACTGTCTTTAGGAGGGGCACAAGGGGGGGCGGAATGACAAAACTTGCACCATGATGTAACCTACATGGCTTACATACTTGTGTTCAATGTCACTGCACGAATATGAAAGACTGCAGATAGCATTGTGACATTGCAATACATGTTATGTAATTTTAACATCAATGCAATTTGTCCCGATCATTTACAGAACAGTATGCCATTTGGATGCATTGTTTAGTACATCCTAAAGGAGCATCCATTGTCACTAGTGGCTCAAGTTGTCTCAGTGGCACAGAGTGCCTTTGATCAGTTAAGCTGGTTTACCAACTCTGATCTTACCTAGACGGATAGCCCCACATTTATTCATGTTCTGGTAACTTTCCAGTTGGATGATTGAAATACATTGCATGTTGGGCTGCCTTTGGAAAGAGTCTAGAAACATCATTTGATTCAAAATGGAACAGCAAGATTGCTCACTGGGACTGGCCAATATTATTTATGTATTTATTTATCCAATTTATATGGCTGTCCATCTCAACAAGTGACTCTGGGTGGAGAACAGAGTTAAAATAAAACAATTATAAACATTACAAAAGTTAAAATACACAATGGCTGAGCAACATTAATCCAAATCAGTAGCATAACCAAGAAGTGGGTCCCTGCACACCCTTGGCGCCCTAGGCCCAGGCCCAGAACCAGGTCTTAAGGACCTTATGAAAGTCCAGCAGGATCAGGGCCATCCTGATCTTTGGAGGTAGAATGTTCCACAAGCTGGGCGCTATGGCAGAAAAGGCTTCTAGGCCCCACCAACTGACATTCCTTGGCCGATGGGACCTGAAGTATGCCCACCCTGCCTGACAGGAGCAGATGGGTAGAAACAACTGGGGAGACACAGTCCCTCAAGTAACCTGGTTCTAAGCCATGAATGGCTTTAAAGGTGACAACCAGCACCTTGACTTGCACTGGAAGCACATTAGCAACCAGCGCAACTCATGGAGTAATGGTGTTACACACGTCAAGTAACTGGTGCCATTTACTACCCGTGCTGTTGCATTCTGCACCAGTTGAAGCTTCTGAATGCTCTTCAAGAGCAGCCCCATGTAGAGTGCATTGCAGTACTTCAGACAAGAGGTCATGAGGGCATGAGTGACAGCAGGACCCCCGGTCCAGGAACAGGCACAGCTGGCGCACAACCCAAAGATGTGCAAAGGCCCTCCTAGCCGCAGCTGCCATCTGCTTTTTGAGCAGGAGCTGTGAATCTAGGAGGACCTCCAGATTATGTACTAGGTCTGTCTGAGGCAGTGCCATCCCATCCAAGACTGACAATGGAAGGTTCCTGGCACCAAAAGGTCCATACACCAAAAGACACTCAGTCTTGCTTTGGTTGAGCTGCAGCCTGTCGCACCCCATCCAGGCTTCCGCAGCCTCCAGACACTGAGACAGGACAGGGAAAGACGATCAGGTGGCCAGGGGTGGAGATATAAAGCTGGGTATCATCTGCATATTGGTGATACCTCACCCCAAAGTGTCAGATGACCTCACCCAGTGGCCTCATAATTAGTATTGTTTAGATTTTGAAAGATTGCCTTGCTGTTGCCTAGTTTGTATGGTGTCTTTATTTTGTATTTTATTTTATTGTACAGTATGTATTTTAACTCAATTGTATTTTTTAGCATGTTTTATTATAAACCACCCAAAGAGCTTTGTCTGTTAGATGGCTAAAAAATTTAAACAAATAAACAGTGAAAACACCAAATTGTAGTTATTCTAGGCAGGCAAGAAAATGAAAGGCAAATGAAAGACAAGCTTTGTGTCAGAGCACTTTTTCCTTGCTTTTTTGTTCTTTTTTTTGGCAGCGGGGGGAAATATTACCTATTCTTGAAACATAACTTTGCAGTTACTTTGAGGCACTTGGTTCTTGAAAATACTGTAAAGAAAACTGATGGAAAAAGGCAAGAAAATGTTTTTGGAAAGTATAGGAATTTTTGTAAAATAAGAGATTGTTTAATGTGCTTCAATGTAAACTTTCTCCAGAGGGAAAATATCCATTATTGAGTTATTCTAGTAAGGCAACGTTAACACAAATGTCTTATTTCTTGAGGAAGGTTTCCACTGAAATGTGTTGGGGAGTTTTATATTTTATTACAGTTACACATGTTTTTCAATAATATATTGAGGCTTGCCAATGTTTTTGTGTTTGGTTCTTTCCCTTTTCTTACCTTCAAGAAATGAAATTGTCTATTCAACACAATTCACAAGTGCCTTCTTAATAAGTACTGCACAGAATCCACTGTGTTTTTGTGGGAAGAGATGCCATCATATGGTCACAATCTGTGTGATAAAATTTCTTGGTCTGAGACCTTGAAAGTTAGGTACTGTACAAGAATTGCAGTCCTGTAGAAAAGAAATTTGAATCTCACAACAGCAGCCCAACAATGCAATTATAGTATTTTCAAATTATCTGGAAAAGCTATCAGTTTTACATGTCAACAACCACGATAATAAATTATTCAACAGTAATTGCCACTGTAAAATAATTCCTGTGAGATTGAGATGTATGTAAATATAATTGCTGGGGGGAACTCTTTGAATGAGGAATTTAGTGTAAAAGCACCAATTATTGTTGATTATGTGTGTTCTCTTTTGTTTCTCATTTTTGTTTAAAAGCAGAATGCTATTTTTGAGAGAAGTTACTGTTCAATATAGGGATTTGATGATAGATAACAGTATACTGTGAATAAATTATTTAAAGTGATCAACTGTGCCTGATATAGTTCTTCATTTTTTTTTTTTTGCTTTACTAGGATTTTTCCCAAGCAGTTCTCAAGGATGTGATGCTTTTCTACGCCATAAGATGACATTAATTTCTCCCTCAATATTGAAAAAATATGGAATTCCTTTTGACAAAGTGAGTTATTCATTATGTTTGGGTCTTTATCTATTACATCAAATAAGGCCTAGGAAATCATATTTATTTTTACACAAATTCCAGTTTTATACAAAACAATATATCTTGGTGAAGAAATCGTTATGTGCATGCACTTGGTAAAAGTGGGGAAGACATGAAAGAAAACATTTATTGAATACACACACATACACACACATTGTCTCTGTCTCTCTATGGATTTTCAACCTACAGAAAATTCTCTAAATCAGTCAGATTGATGAACTAAGATTTGCATAGTCCTGTCATGAAAAGTCCAACCTATATTGTTTGTATCTTATCTTTTGTTCAAAGAATTCAAGGCAGCGTATATGGTTCTTTTATATTAGGAGAAATAGACCTGAAAATCTAATTATATTGGCCCAGAACAAAAATTTCAAAAACAATTGTGGGGTAACCTAATTTTCTTAAAATAGAAAATAACTTTATAAAAATCTTTAGAACTGAAACTGCTTTCGGGTGGAGGAAGGGATTGATTGATGGGGATGTAATGGAACTTGCTTTTAATTACAGCCTGTAGCCTGTGCAATGGATACAACCTGGCTGGGGAAGTAGACTATTTGGTGGTTCACTGTGATCAGTTCGCAAAGCATTTTGCAGACAAATCACTCACATCTATTTTTATTTGAATAATCATATGAATATGTGTTAGATCAATATCAGTAGATGTATCTTTGGCACCTGGTTGCCCACTTCAAATTAAATAAGATGTGTTTCAAACTGTGCCGTTCCAAACATGGACAGGATTCTTGGCAATATAAACCTAGCTATATTTGTACTCAGTTCATCTGGATAATAAGCATCCAGAATTAGATTAGATTGAACTTTAGACCTTTGGGCACTAAGACAGCTGTGATCAATTCATTGAATGATCTACCCTGGGAACTGGAATAGGGAAGTGCATTTTTTTGGGTTCTGCTGGGTTTTTAATGGATTTTCATTACCGTCAAACATGGCAAACTGCTGGATAATCTTTCAGTAATGGGATTTAAAGGTATAGTTTTATGGTGGCTTCAGTTCTTTCTGGTAGACAGTTCTCAGACTATTGTGCTGAGGGATACTTACTTTACCATTTCCCATTCTGTTTAACATTTATAAGAAATCATCTGTAATTTGGTATCACCAGTATGCGGATAATAGCCAAATCTATTCTCCTTATCTCATTCTAAAGAAATTCTTGAGATCTTGAAGTATGGACTCTATAGGGGCTGACCAGAGAAATATTTTTGATTAGTAGATCTGATCTTGGAATTGGGGCCTGTGGAATGAGCTAACATTTCCTTTGAAAACACATTTTAGAGATTATTCTGGATCCAGCTGATTTCTGTTTTGACCCTGGAATTTCTGTTGTCATGTGACTAGGCATTACTTTGTGTAACTGAGCCTGGTGGCCAATTACAGCCATTGTTGGAGAATGCAGATCTGAGCACTTTGATCCATTCAGGTGGCTTTCAGACTGAGGCTAGACAGCCGCCTGTCTGGGATGCTCAATCTGGATTCCTGCACTAAGCATGCATTTACCCCTGATGACCTAAGTAGCCCTTTCCAATTCTTCCAGTTCTGTGATTCTAGATACATTGTGTGTAGATTATTTCAGTGCATTCTATTCAGAGCTCTTTTTGGAGACTTTTTAAAAATAGAAATTCGTTCAGAATGCTGCAACCTATTTATTAATAGGAATTGTATATGGAGAACATGTAACTCCTTTACTGAAACTGTTTCACGGCTTCCAGTTTGTTTCTGCTTATAATTCAAACTGCTTGTGTTGACCTTTATAGCTCCGAATGATTTAGGACTAGGATATTTAAAGAACAACCTTCTTCCATGTGAAGCTGCTTACCTGTTGGTAACATCGTCAGATCCATATTATATATCCTAAGCTGTCTGTTTGAGACTAGGAAAAGGCCTTTTTTGATTATTATGACTAGCAATCAAAATGGAATTTCCATTTCAAGAAAGCCCCATCTCATTTCCTCATCAATAAACTTCCAGAAATTGGTGGATCTTCCTTTTTAGAAGTGCCATCAATATATAATCTTATGACTGTTTTTATTAAATTGCTTGTATTGTGCAATGTAGTTTCTTTCTGCTGTTTTGCAGTTTTATATTTCTTTGTTTTTATTTTATTGTAAGCCATTTGAAACCTTAGGTGGGATAGAAATGTTTTAAGTAAGTAAATGATGGTATGGCAGACAAATAGATTATGTCAGACTTCTCCAGTATGAATGTTTTTTTTTAATCTGGAGATGCTGGAAGTTGTAGTCCAAGATATTTGAAGGACACTGCATTTGGTTCTCTTATATCAAAGTTTTAGGCTGTGTTTACAATTGCTGTAGGAATGCTGGGATAAAGATAATTAAAATAATTGATTGCACATTTTTTAAAAAATACAATATAGATGTATAGACTAAATATACAATATAGAAATAAGATTGGGTATCTTGTTGAATACAAACTCTGTAGCAGTCTCTAAAAAGAAAGATATCTCAATGTGAAGAAGTGAAAAGAATAAGAGAACTTACTGTAAATCTTTCCTAAGGTTTGAAAAGGCTTAATATAAACTACTGCCAAAAACATAATTGTTTCTGTTTCATTCCCTATCTTGTAGTTTGTAGCCTTGGAAGAGGTGCAGTCATATGAAAAAGAAAGTACACCCTCTTTGAGTTCG